GCGGTTAAGACAGCTGACGTGCTATGATTTCTGACAGGCAGTTCACTCTCCTGTGATGTGACCCTGTTCCCCTCACACACACACACACAACGCATTACTCTGTGCTGCGCAAAACTCCGCATTTGAACAGTCAATAGCAAATACTTAAACTGATAACAAAACATTCTTACAGTCGCTAATTCAGAAGTGCCAGATTGTCATAGCAAAGTCGGAATTGGCCCTTTTTTTTTAAATAGCCTTTGTGCATAGCCAGCCTTGTACTCTTCTAGGTTAAAAAAACTGTCCTCCATAAAATGCGTTGCACAAATTCGAACATCTGAGTTGTGCTGTTCTGTTGTAAATAAATCTTAACCAATGATTCCTAATTGCATCTACTTCCGGAAGGCCAAATAAAGTGCTTTTGCTTTCGCACTGAAACACAGCGTCTCCCTGACATGACTGCATCAACATGACTGCTGTTCTCCTTTAACCACGCCTTCTTTCTTTGCGTGCACATTTGGGTGGCATTATGCTAATATTTCCACATAGTGACCTAGATATGTGGGGGCGTGTTAGAACGAGCCGTTTTAGGTAGGCGTGGCTGACTCTTAACTTTTATAAAGAATATCTCTTTGGATTAAAACTTTAGTCTTTGCAACTTTACAGACCTTCTTTATGCACCAAGAGCTTGTAACACTTGAAATCGCATCATATGACCCATTTAAAATTTTTCGTTAATCACCTGTAGGTAGCGTATTCAATCTGATGAAAAATTAACGGTCGCCTGACGGCGCTCTACGACCATTATCTTATCTGAGCTCAAAACGCTGCTCGGGAGAGTTTCAAGATACTGAATACATACAATTATGAACGCGTTACTGTGTGTTTATTTTTGTTCACAGTATTTTAATAGTATGATTATGAACATAAAAGCATTACAAAACAAATTAATAATCTACCATCTATGAAACCACAAAGCTGACGCGGAGGTATGCATAATTACAATAAAGTAATTTTGAGTGTTATTACTATTAATATTATTTACATGTAATATAAAAGTACATATGTGACGAAGATGTTTTTGCAACAGCTCCATGTCTCACGCGCATTCTATAGGCCTACGTCACCGTCCGAATCAGTTCACTTCATTTCGTTCACTCCTTTCTGATATAGGCTAGTCCACTCAACTGCCATACACTATAAAGGGATTAGTGAATGAGTGAACAAGTGAGCGATTTCGGACACAGCTTATGCCTCTCATTCGGGTGCTCCTGTGGCTACTGCCAGAACATGGAATAGGGTTTAAGACAGTTAAAACTGTATGACTGCAAAACCATAGTTAAAAAAATTAAATATTTGAAATACACAGTCTGTGTTACTACTTTACATAATAATTTAATTACAGAGTAAATTAGTTTACTTAATTAAATTAATTAGTAAATTAAATTAATTAGTACATTTTTCTTTTATAGGTTATGGACAAATGTGCAGAAGCAAAAATAGCAATGTGCGCTAACAAAATAAATACAGTCAATTTAGATTTCATGTGTACTTTAATGCTTAAACTTAGACTTTACTTCTCAGTCAACAATTACACCATGTTTCCTTACATTTTTCTTCTCCTCATTGGTCTCCCTATGCCTCTCATTCGGGTGCTCCTGTGGCTACTGCCAGAACATGGACACTGGTCCTGAAGGACTGTGTTAGGGATGTTAATACTAGGCAGGTTTGTGACAAAAGTGCAGAATGAGTATCTTGTTATATACCAGGCTATGTTCAAATGACGCAGCAGCAGAATAGGGTTTAAGACAGTTAAAACTGTATGACTGCAAAACCATAGTTAAAAAAATTTAATATTTGAAATACACAGTCTGTGTTACTACTTTACATAATAATTTAATTACAGAGTAAATTAGTTTACTTAATTAAATTAATTAGTAAATTAAATTAATTAGTACATTTTTCTTTTATAGGTTATGGACAAATGTGCAGAAGCAAAAATAGCAATGTGCGCTAACAAAATAAATACAGTCAATTTAGATTTCATGTGTACTTTAATGCTTAAACTTAGACTTTACTTCTCAGTCAACAATTACACCATGTTTCCTTACATTTTTCTTCTCCTCATTGGTCTCCCTTTGGCTGGTAAGATGTTATTAATTTTAGTCTTTCTGAATTTGCATTGTGCATTGTTTTTTAAGAGCAAAAATTATTTGAAAGCTAGAATATGATTTAAATAAAAATTAGTAGAAATCATCAGGGTCCAAGTACCAACGGCTCGTGAGGATGATTAGTTGTTGCAGTTGAAATGTTTCTTTTCAAATATAATGTGGTTTTTACAGAAAATCCCATTTTGAATTTTCACGGATAGTTAGGGTTTGATGAAATGGGTTACAACAACACACTGGTGTCAAACGGGACAGCTGACTTTCAAAAGAAATCTAACAGTCAGACTGAAAGTGAGAAAGAGAAGAACCACTGTAAATATTTTTACTATCATAAGATATTGTGATCAGAAGATTTGTGGTGTAGCCTACATGGACTGTGTAACATTTACATTTGCAAGAATTGCATGTCATAGATCATTTTGCAGATCAAAATAAAGAAATGAAAAAAGTAAATAATTAATTATCATTAGGCCCTTTTTATTTTATATATACTGTATTTCTTTAGTATGTGTGGCCTTCCAACCTTTCAAACGGTGTATTTATGTTTAAACTCTAATGAACAATGTTTTGTAGAACTGTAACTAATAAGTGAACACCCCAATAAATAAATTTTCAGCTCAAAAGGATATACAAAGTTTGTGTTTTTGTACATTGATAATATATGAAACTGCTTCAGTTGTACAGTACATAAACAAGCAGATATTGATTGGTGCTTGCATGCCATTTTGGCCAGCAAAAATTATTCATTCATACATTTATAATATAGCAATACATGTGGTGAAAAAATACCAGGTTACAAGCAGGACTAAACCCACCAACCCAAAATCTATGTGTTAACTCCATCATTGTGGAAACTCTTGAAATTAAAGCGCCTCCTGTCGGTGAAACTCTGCATCTAGGGAGAAAAAAACATAATAGATTATTAAATAACAAAACAATAATGCATTACTCTACATTAGAATTATAAATGAATTACATATACAGTTTGATTTAGAATCTTATAAACATGTGGTCACATGCAAACAGAGAAAGCACACACTCTCACCTGGCTAGGGTCTCTTGTGAAGTATCTCTTCTCTATTACCTAAAGAGAAAAAATAATAATTTACACACAACTTGCATATACACTGCACAGAGACACGGTATATCATATATTTTAGTTTAAATGAAGTCCCTACCTTGTCAAAGAATCGGCTCAATTTAACAGCATTTGATGATCCAGCAGCAAGATACCGTGGATTTGTACAATCCTGAGAAGAAAAGCAGGACAAAGCTCAGAATTCGTAAGTGCAAAATCCCCAAAGGAGATTTAATACAACAAATGGAGTTTTTTGCTTAATATTATATGAGTTTGGGTATTGTAACAGCACTAAAAAGCACACACCAAATTGACCTCTTCCGCATTAAAGTCTTCAGATAGAAAGGCAGTGCGGGTCAGCACATCATTCCTCTTGTTTTCCGGGATCTGATCAAATTTGGTGCCAATAAGCAGGAGAGGAACAGAGTTCTCTGCAAACTGTTCTCTGTCATAATCCCTGCAAGTGCAAAACATCAGAATTATTTCTTTTGAACATATCTGGGAATTTATGACAAAAAGTATGGTATTCTCTCTCTGTATAATCGTTCATACATCCCGAAGTTAACCTTGACTCACCCATTTGACACAATGATGCCAGTTGGAGAGGAGTCTTTGCTCAGTGCCTCCAATGACCAGCGGTACAGATTCAGGGAGGATTTCTTGTTGGTCAAATCATGAACTAAAATAATACCTAGAAGGGGAAAAAAGTGATTTAGCATTAAAGAAGAGTCATTACAAATATTCCAGCATGCTTTTTATTTGTACACATATAAGAACAAATTTTAATGGTGTGTCTGATACTTAACCATTTACAGAATTGTAAAACACAGCTCTGGTGCTTTTAACACTGCTGGCACTGCCAACAGATCCCCCAACGTCCCAGAGTTCAATGTAGTATGTCTTCTCTTCTGGAGTGCCTTCTCTGTAGTCATGAACCTGTGAAAAGAATCAAGACTGAGTTTCCTTTATTTCATAGGTTTATATGATAATGACACAGTAATAATAATAATAATAATCATTTAAATTAATAATAATCACTGCGAATTGTCACTGTACCCTGACGTCCACTGAGCAGCCCACAGTCCATGAAGGATTCCCCAAAACTTGATTCTGGCAAAGTAAATGTACAAGAGAGGACTTCCCCACTCCTGTAAACAGACACAAAATAACACTGATTAGAACAGCAATACTGAGGCTCACAAAGTATTTATTTTTAAAAGAAAAAGTACAACATCGAAAGTGTGGTTCCTCATGATAGATATTCTCAAATAATAACGAACATAATAGTAATATTGTAGAAATCCAAGCAAATGTGGCAGGCTAATACTTCTAGCTTGAGTTGAATATTAGACAACACGCTTATATTTTAAATATACATTCACAATATCTTTGAGGAGGTTACAGAAAAAAACAAGGTCGACAGATTATTTAGGTAATATTTATTACCAGAATCTCCCAAAACCAACACTTTCATCCTGTCCAAAGATGCCATTTCTTTGCGGAAGTACGCTGTGGTCTCTGTCCGTGTATGAGAACAAAATAAAAGTTGCAGAAATACGTGAAGAAGACTGCACAGAGCTGAGTATAGTGAAAATCAAAGTCAGTCAAACGGAAAGTATAAACTGAAAAAAAGAAATAAAGTTCTGTATTTAATAGTAGCCCTTGTGTGATATGTGGTTTAATTTTTATTATTAGCCTCGCTTGCTTGCGTTTAATATCAAGATTACTACAGTTCTTTATAATATAATATAATATAATATAATATAATATAATATAATATAATATAATATAATATGGGTTATTGACATTTTTCGTTTGAACTTTTATAACACTTCCGTTTTAAAATGAGGCGGGACTTGTGACAGAAGAGGCAGGAAGAGGCTTTTTTGATAGACATCACAGAAAGCCGGTGTATTTTATTATTGGACTTCTGAAAGAAACAAGGACCCATGGCTGTTAGAGGAATGAAATTATCGAGTGTTTGTTTTCTACTTTTATATTTGATATTGACAGTGCTGGCTGGGTAAGTGAATATCGTGTTATTTTCAGGGTTTAGGTTTAGTGTATTAAAACTCAACACATGTTTCACTGTGATTGGTCTACGCCACTGTCCGTGCATCATGCTGGTGGAGCTCGCCATAAAATACTTGATATCACCGCTCCTATTTGTTGTACTTTAAAGCGTTTATTTCAGTACAGGAATGTTTTTTTTTGTTCAAAATAGGACAGTGTTTTTTTCAAGTACCAAAAATGGCTGTGACGAGGCTGATAACTTGTCATTGTTGCCACGTTTATATGAATGTCACATTTCTTTCAGAAATATCTTAAGCGTCGTACTGTTGTCCTCTTGCTGATTTCCTCATCAAGATGTATAGATGTTAAATAGTTGGACATCATGTCAAAATTGCTTAATCAATTCATCACTAGTTTGAATGAATGAACTAGTGTACGATTGCAAAGTTCTAAAGTAATGTGTATTTTCAGGAGGGATTTCTACAACATTTTGGGGGTTAGTAGGTCAGCATCAATTAAAGACATCAAGAAAGCCTACAGAAAGCTGGCATTGCAGCTTCATCCAGATAGAAACCAAGATGACCCAAATGCCCAAGACAAATTTGCAGACCTCGGAGCTGCTTACGAGGTATGATTGTTTATGTTTTAACAAGTCCTTATGTTTTTTGTTTTGACCGTCACGCATTATGTTAAACAAAAATATGGTCTTTACTGGATATTCAAGTGATGTGCATTAGGGAATGACATGACTTAGTTTTAATGCGAATATTTTGCGTAACTTTAATACAAATATCTAAATTGGCGATGCATTGTGTCACTAAATCATTGCATTAGAGATTTATCATATTTTTATAAACAAAACATCAGTAGAAAGTCAGTGAACCTGACCAGCGTGAGCGTTGCTGTTAGAAACGAACCAATGGAGCGATTTGATTGGTTGGAAGAAATGTGTGGCCGCCTCTGATTGGTTTAAACATCTGCTTATTGTTATTCATTATATTTATGAAGTGCACCTCTAGTGTAGCTTGTAATAATGTGTACTACTGTGTGCAAAATGGAATTCTTATTACATAATAAATGATTTTCTGTTTAATACCAAGTAGTCAGTGGTTGGTTCCATTATAATATTATAACAAGTATACCTTTAAATTATTTATTTATATATGAAATATTGCATAAAATTGTAATAATTCATTTTTAAATGTCAGTATATAATATTAGATTTTTTTCAAAGTTTGAACTTTTTTATTTATTATTATTATTATTGTTGTTGTTATTATTATATTAGATTTTTTTAAGCGGGTTGCCTTTTGTGCAATTTCAATGTCTATAACCATGTCAGAAATAAGAAATTAATCTTTTTGTATCTATTATTTAACATTTTGTATATTTCAGAATATCTAATTATGGCTTTAGACACCTATGCGTTTTATGTTAAATAGAAATTGCCCCTAAAACCAACTTCAGGGTGCAAATATTGCTCATTGCTCAGTTCATGATGGTTTTCAGGACTATTGAGAAAAAGTAAAAAAGTTGACTATTTTCTGATTGTCTGTTTTATTCATAGGTGCTCTCAGATGAGGAGAAAAGGAAACAGTATGATACATATGGAGAGGAGGGTTTAAAAGAAGGCCATCACAGTTCACACGGTGATATATTCTCCAGGTAAATAAGCCTCCGCTTAATTAAGAGTTTTCTTCACCAGTTAACTACTGAAATGTTTGTAGTGTTGAAATGTTTGCAATGTTTTAGTGTAAATTTGCAAATGACTGATGCATAGTTGGTATTCTCATTTCAGATATGTGCATATTTGAAACAAAACTGTTGGTACTGTCACTGCGCATTCGTACAGTCTGTGACTACATTGATATGCAAATATGTGTTTTGTTTTTTCAAGTTTCTTTGGCGACTTTGGATTTATGTTCGGTGGAAATAGGCAGCCGGCCGGCCGGGATATTCCAAGGGGTAATGATATTATACTGGACCTTGAAGTAACCCTAGAAGAGGTGTATTCAGGGAATTTTGTAGAGGTGAGCTTCTTTTTTTGTTCTTGATCCCTCTCCATTTCCTTCCTGATGTACTGTAGTATACACACTCTTTGTGTACTTCTGTAGGCTTTGTTTGGCAGTGAACATGCATAGTCACATGGAAATGGACACTCTCCTTTTCTTTTTCCTGTCCTTCTGTTTCCTCTCTTCTTCAACATGTAGGTGGTGCGAAACAAACCTGTAGCAAAAGAAGCCCCAGGCAAAAGAAAATGCAACTGCCGACAGGAAATGAGAACCACACAGCTAGGACCAGGTCGCTTCCAGATGACACAAGAAGTAGTCTGTGATGAATGCCCCAATATCAAGTAAGTTTGCCCAGTAATCACTGTAACTTTGACTCAGTAGGACATATTGGGCCTCATTTACGAAACGAACGTATGACAGAAAATTGCGCGTATGGTCGTTTCAACGCAAAACTTAGAATTTATCAATATGGATGTGAGCGGTGGCTACGATCAAATCTCATGACTGGTCTCAGCTCGTGTACGCACGTTTTTGAGTTACCTGAACTTGCGCGCAGCATAGTAAATACAGTGGAGAATTATAGAATGACAGCATTTTGCTCATTTTTATTTTCCTGACCATCAAACGAAGCTTATTAGTCGATCGTTAACCAGTAAGATTAGAATGTCTTTTTTGGGGGGGGTTTTATACAGGGCTTTAGCTTTATATGCGCGAATAGCAGGGTAAACCACAGACCATGAAGATTCAATCGTCACATCATGCACCTGCAACGCTTCTGTGAAAGGAGATAAACAGAAATTAAGTCTATAAAAGGAATAAGATAAATATGATCACACAAAATATATAATAGGCTATAATATAATTAATAGATTAACAAAAGAAAAAAAACACTGTGCAACAAGTATAGGCTACGCTCTTTTTTGACAAACTTTTAATGCATTTTATTTATTTTCTTTATATCTTTATTTGATTGAATCCATCTGATCGCACAGGCGCCTCACGCACACACAAACAACATTAGTTCTAGCGGTGCCTTACACTTCAGCCATTCATCATCAAACTAAAATGCAGTCAACCAAACATAAAAGTTGCACTGTTTATTTAAAAAAAGTGCTGTAAAATCAGCGTGCAGCGCCCCAATAAAATTTTTGTGCATGTGAAGGATTTTACACGGATATTATAACATGAGTGAAGTATAAAGCCATGTTTAGGTTACATAATGAATAATAGTTATGCAAACAAATGTTACAAATATGGCAAAAATGGAAACATTTGGATTCTTGTGGTATGAGACAGGCGCGTGAGCCCAATGCCGTTTCAGTTTTGCTTGACATTTGTATGCTGTTTATAATGAATGCCACTATAGCCTAATTTGTGTTTTATTTTAAAGTTTAATATATAATTTTATAGCTACTTATTTTCCATTCTTGTTCTGTTCTGAATACCATTACATTTTAAATATTAGTTGTAGAGTGAGGGGAACTAAATAGGCTGTTTATATTTACCAGTATTTTAATATACATATAAATTACATAAATTAATGTAGCCTAATTCTTTGCAATTACAAGGTTAATGGGTGTTTTTGGAGTAAGTTCAATTTCTCTTTCACGAGATTACTTCCTCTCTTTGGCCGGGTTTCGTTTCTCCGTGTCGTAAACTCAGGGGCGAGGCTTCTAAACCAGGGTGTTTTTAGGGGCGTGATATTTAAATGATGATTGTTTTCTGCCGCCACATTTATCAATGCACTCGTTTCTACGTTAGATTGATAAATGAGAACCATTATGATTTTCTGTTTGAACACTGTATCATTGTTTCCAGGCTTGTGAATGAAGAGAGAACACTAGAGGTGGAGATCGAGCAGGGTGTGAGAGATGAGATGGAATACCCTTTCATTGGGGAAGGTATAGAAATTAATTTATTTTATAATTAATTATACGGATAACTCAATACAGTAACATTTGTTTTTATGAATTAGCTAGATGCTGCAACATATTATTTATAGAATGTACACGTGACATATCTGTTGTTTGAATGACTACAGGTGAACCTCACATTGATGGTGAGCCCGGAGATCTGCGTTTCCGCATCAAAGTTTTAAAGTAAGAGTAGTATTAAATGATAGCAATTAGAACAGTGAATTTAACTTTTCTCTTAATGTATGTTTAATATAATTTAACTTAATGTGCCTCCATTTGTTCTCTGTCTTCAAAGAGTGAGACTTTATGAACTGTTTCCAGTTTGTCACATGTCAATCTCTTCTTCTCCAGGCATCCAGTGTTTGAGCGCAGAGGTGACGACCTCTATACAAACGTCACCATCTCTCTGGTAGAGGCTCTGGTCGGTTTTGAGATTGACATCACTCATTTAGATGGTCACAAGGCATGTTTTGTTTAATTTTTTAGAATATATATTTATGTTTCATTTCACATGTGCAACTAAAAGCCGTGACTTTATAATGTAACACTCATCTTGTGGCCTTGTAGGTACA